GTACAGGAACATGTATCCCACAGGTGAAGCTCATCCCAGCAAGAGTGCTACAATCAACAGACCAAAATAGAGGCACCACCAACAAATGAACCAAACTTCCTCTAGCCATTACCTAGATGCCAAAGACGCTATATAATCTTCAGCTTCATGGAGGTCCTTCCTCCTCTGAGCAATTATTGTTCCCATGAACCCTTTATGTTCAGCCATGGAATCAACAAGCTCCCGCAGCGCATTAGCAACTGCCTGAGTTTCTTTATCAGCTTTGAGTCTTGCATCTTGGTGCCTCTTCTCCGATATCTATCAAATCAAATTCCGTTTGAGTTATCTGATTCCAATGTGCTAGACTAATAAAGGAATGTGTTCTATTAACAAAACAAAAGGTAAGAAGTACCTTAAAAAATCATCAGCCTGCATTTCAACAGAAATCAAACTATTCTTCTTTTTCTCCAACTCATCATTCATTTGTCTAGACTCAGATGTGAATCTTGAGTCATCATTTGTCATTTCACGATCCAGCAAATTCAAACGAGCAACCATCAAGATAACAAGCAGATACAAGAGGTTCAACTTTATTTTTTGGCAATAATTATTCTATAAAAGAGTCCAGGTTAACTTGAGCCGTATGGTAAAAGACAGGCCAAGCACTTTTGCATATCGATAATTGTTTAAGACTTTCGAATCACCATGAAAAGCGAGTGGGGTAAGATAGCCCCCAAGTCTAATCACAACACATCAGTATAATTGAAGACATAAATCCAAAATCCAATTTACATTGACAGCACAAATGAATTTTCACAAGTCGAAGCCATTATTCGTGCTTACTTCACCATAAGTTTCATGCCTAAATATAAAATTGAGATAAAAGGTGGGCAGGACATTGCCTAACTTTTAACAAATTGATGATGGCATTATGCCCACTGTCTTGCTTCTCTAATCACAACCCTCAAGTCAAATCACAGCACATCAAAGTATAATCCATGGTGTAAAATCCAAGCTCAATTTCCAATAACAGCGCAAATTAATCATAATGGGTTGATTCAAATACTTAGGACCTTTTCACCACAAATTTGATGTATGAATATGCCCAGGGCCCAGTCCCAATTGTACAAAGCAGAAAGCACTACTCTTCCTGATTTTAGTAAATATCAGCTCGAAAAGGCTTGATTACTGGTTAATCCAGCTAATAATTTACTAAAAGGACCAGAAGTAAAGCTTTATCAAGTTGAACCAACTGACTCTAGAAACTACATCAACGTCTGACTGATTTTCTTGTTGATATATCATCACAATATCACTAGAAAAAATTGGTCACCTAAAATATATAGCTGAAGTAAACAAAATTTTTAAAAATTGGGAACTTTAGCATTCCCTGATGATGTTTTTAATAGTCTGGTCAATAACCATTAACCATATACAGAAAATTGTAGCGCAGGTCTTTCCAATAGTGTGATACGTTCTATCATTTGCCCAATACTGCAAAGTAATTTCAGAATAAGCATAACAAATAAAAGAGGAAGGACACCATAATTTCATATCACATTTACTCTATAGGCTATAAATGTAATGTAGTGCTTGAAAGGATGAACTGACATTATCATTTGTTGCCTGTAGACTGGAAATATTATTCCTTTCCTCCTCTAGGACTTTAACATTTCCTTGCATCTGCTTCTGTAGATCATTTACTTCTTCAAGATTTGAGAGACGGATCCTTTTGTTCTCGTCAGCGTGAGCCACCAGTCCTTGTGTCCTTGTTTCAGTACTGTTTTGTAAGTACCTAGCATCTCAGCAGGAGAAGATCCTTTTGCATGTATCATGTACTGAATATCAATACCAGATTTCAACCTGAAAAGTAGCCCACAAGTGTAAAAATGAGGACGTAATACAAACCAAACTAACAAAAGGAGCTAGTAGAGCAAATACAAACAACAGAACCACAGTTAAAAAAAATAACATTTTAACCCTGTTTGTTTTATTGTTTAGGAAACACAAAAACAACAAACAAAATGATGCCAGCTGGCTATTCAAAAGCCCCAAATTTTAGTTAAATGTTTTTTCCCTGAAAATTTCTTGGAAACTAATCACTGGACTTCAAAATCAGTGATTCAATAAGTTTCAGTGTAAAAAATACAGGATTAATTGTTTGGCTCATATTCCACCTAGTTCAATTTGTTTGTCCGGCAAAATCTCCTATCTCCTATACCTAAATAAGAGACCCCCACTACAGGATTTACCTGGCTTCTCATGTATCCACGTCATCATCATATTCATGCATGCAGAGCTTATTTGTCAATGGAAAAAAATTGCATTTGCCCAACCTTTGCCGCTTCACCTTTCCGGCGTGCACATGCAAATGTGCAATTTTTCCGTTTCACCTTTCTCGCGTGCAAATGCATATGTGCAATGAAATACCATATCAATTCTTTATCCTGAAACGGCTTCCCACTAAGCCTCATTCATTACTTACTAGCCAATAATAAAGGAGCAGCAGAAGCCAAGGAGACTGCATTTAACTCTACCTTTGAAACTGATGTAAAAACCCCACCATCTCCACCCTGTGCTACTCTTATAAAACTACGAGCAAGCATGGTTCAACCATGCACCTGACACAACCAGGCAACCATTCACAGCAGCCCGTCGATTGATACACCTCCATCACCGGAGCTATTGCCTACACAACCCAAGTTCTTTGCATCTTCTACTAATCCATAACCTCGGCTTCCTCACAAAAAAAAATTACTGCACTAAAATATTTATGTTCCCAGAACCCTGCTAATTAATCAGCTTATCCATTTGGTCCTACAGGGAGGATCGAAGGACAGGATCAAAGGAGGAATGCCCTGATCGTAGATTTGTACGATTTTAGGAGTAACACATACTTCATTCCTTTCAGATCGAGGTGTAAAACATTTAATCTGTAATCGGTTTTATGGTTCTTTTTGCACAGAATACTTAATCTAATTGACTTAAAAGTTCTCGTGGCAACGCACGGGTTATTCTCTAGTTATCCTATATACTAATGTCCATGTCCAGTCCACATTATTCAATTTGTTGAGGTATTGAGGATCAGGAACGTTCATACCTTTTGTGGGCCTGGTTGCACTGCTCAGCAAGCCTCTCAAGGTCATCAAGCTTGGTAACCAACTTGGTTTCGAGTTCCCAGTCCTTTTCCTCCAGTGCCGATGTCCCCTTCTCGGCGCTGGCAGTGTCATCTTCAACCACCTTCATCTCCCTGTGCATCCTCTTAACATCACTCACATTGAGGGGCTGAGCACCGACTTGTCCCAACAGATCCCGATTTTCAGCAGTAGTGGCCTTGACGTCGGACACTTTTGCCTCCAACTCCTTCTCCAAATCCCCAAGCGCCTGTTCACTTTCGTTGAGCTTAGTTTTCCAGGTCTCTGCCACTGCCTCATACTTTTGAGCATTGACAATGATGACCTCCTTCTCTGATTCCAATGCTTGCCGCCGCGAGGGGCCCGAGGTGAGCTTATTCACCTCGGTCTCGAGTTCCTGGACCTCCTTCTCCAGGGCACGAACTGTTGCAGCGGATCCTTCCCCAGCCATCTGGGCGTACTCCTTGTCGAGGGCCGCGACGGCGGCGGCGTCCATCGACATGAAGCTGCAGTAGGCCTGGGTGCTGTAGAGTAAGAAGGAGGTGCCGCTCGGGCGGAACAGGCTTCCGCCGGACCGTCGTCTCCTAGGGAGGAGGAGGAGGAGACGAAGAGGGTGAGCCAGTGGAGTACGGAGAGCAGCGTCGGCCACGAGTGCGGGGTAACGGGGGGCCTGAGCGTGGCGTGGGTGACCTTGTAGGGGCACCCGAGCTCGCCGAGGTCCTCGATGAGGTCGTCCTCGAACGTGGCGTCGTTGGGGGGCAGGTGGAGGCGGTCGAGGAGGAGGCGGAGCGCCGCCTGAATGTCGCGCGTGGCGGGCAGCGGCCCGCGGAGCGTGACGGCGGGGGCGAGGAAGCCGTTGACGACGCGGAGCGCGGCGGCCTGCGTGGCGCGGTCGGAGAAGTTGGGGTTGTCATCTTGTCTCCGTGAGCGAGGGAACCGGAAGACGCCGTTCCGTCCGCATAAACGGATCGGGGCTTCTTCTTCCTCCTCCTCGGGGCATCGCCGCCACCACGCCAGCTCGGGAGTTTAACTTTTTACCGTTATAAAGATGGACATATCTGACAGCATCTCAACAGTCGCCGCTACATTTTCATCGTCAAAACGAAAAACAAATACAAAAATGTCATTTTTGCTCATGTGGCACGCCATGACCCTCGCCGCCAGGGATTCAAGTCAAGATACTCCGGCCAAATGTCTCTCCCGCCTCGCTTCTCTCCTTCTCGCCGACAAACAGGGCTCCTCTCTCTCCTTCCTCGTACAACAAACAGTGGCTCTCCCTCCACTCTCCCTCTCTCTCGTAGCTTGGCGGTGCTACCCTCCCTGCGGTGCGCCCTCTCCCCTCCCTCCACTCTCTCTCCCTCCCTCCCTTGTCAACGCCAAGGCTCGAAGCGTGAAAGTACCTCGCAGTCCTCCCCTCCCGGCACGCTTCACCTCCCCTCCCGATGGCGATCCTCCTCCCTCTCCCTCAAGCGCACCTCCGACGGCGTGGCGAGGAGCTCCTCCGCCTCCTCCTCCGGCGGCTGCGTGGTTGCCGTCGGCGTGACCTCGGACAAGAACTTGCACGAGGGCCGCCGAGGTCTGCAGTGAGTGGGCGCTAACGATGAAGTCGTGGACGACGGCCGGGCGAACGACGAGGAGCTCCAGCGCCAAGCCAGCACGCAGACGTCGGTTGCCGGATTCCGTGAACGAGGCGATCGACGGCGCGATGCCGGAGTGGTCGCACGCGTACTGCCTGGCTAGAACCGCGTGTTGGTCGGGGAAGCCGACACCACGCGACGAGGCCATCGAGCTACAGCTCGACGTGACGCCGCCCTCGCCTCGCCCTCGCCCGTGGTTAGCATCGAGAGGTGACGAGCCTGGCCATGGAGCTATCGTGGGCCGGCCGGGCTGCGTCCGCCAACAATGAGGTTGATTCTGGCGTCGGCGGGACCTCCGGCGTCCCGTAGTCGCGCGCCGCTCGCGTCTTTGCATGGCCGCGCACCCTAGGCTCGTTCGCGGCGTCATGCGCTACTCGTGGCTCCTTCTACGCTCTCGGGTCTTGGTCGCGATCTCACAGACCTCGCCGACCTCCGGAGGCTAAGCGTTGCTTGCCGGAAGGAGGCAAGTCCGAACGTGGCGCGCGCGATGGCGTCGGGCACCCGCCAAGAGCTGGTTATTGCAAAGCGTCGTGCAGTGTGCGCGTCGTCGCCGGCCATAGGGTCGGGCGCGGGCACCACCGCCGGCATGAGCAGCAGTCGCGAACCTTCGCCAGGGCACGAAGTCGCCGAGGCACGGTGCGAGCACACGCACCGTCGTCGGGCCAGGGCGCGGACAACAGCACGCCACCGCCTGGCCGGAGCACCGCCGCCGCAGGGCATGAGGTGCCGCGCTGCAGGTGCCTAGGGCTACCAGCGTGGCCAACTCTAGGCGCGCGAGTTGCCGTGTCCGCTAGGAGCACGGGGTGAAAATGCCAGCTGCGTGGGTAGAGAGGAAAAGGGCAGGAGGGGCGTTTCATACGCCCTGCTGACTCGAATCCACGCTGGCATGAGGAGCTGGTGTGCCATGTAAGTAAAAGTGGTAAATTTGTAGCTGTGTTTCTCTTTGTGCTGGCGAACATGTATTGGCATCCGTTAAACTGCTATTTGAGGTGCCCTTTGTTATAATGGTAAAAAGTTAAATCTCCCCCCACTGTCTCCACGTCTCTTCATAACTTTGGCTCTAGACCAAAACCCTAGCCAAATAATCCGGGCACGCATAGGCATAGGCTCCCCACCGTAAGGAAACAAGGTGAGATTGGAGATGGACGGGCGGGAAATCCAAGCGCGACACCACCGTGACCGTGACTGGCTCCATCCAACGGCCTATTTGCTCGAGCTTCTAAGTCGTACTTTTTCAGCCAAGGAATATTATTTTCCTCTCACAACAAATCAGTCAATAGTACTTTCAGCCATGGCTTATCAGCCAAACGAACAAGCCAGGTTGCGTTGATTGCTCGGCCTCTCGGCCCAGTATGGAGTGGTTCAAGCGTTGGAATGGGCTTTCTTGTTGCGCAACATATTGGACCAGGTTTTAGGATACAGATCTACTCGATAACAGAATAGATCGGCATGTACAGGATTAATATTAAGGGAATGGCTAGCATCCAGACGCTAGCACCCATCTTGATGCCCGTGCCTACCCTACCACATGAGCAAGCTACAGCACCTACCCCGCCTACTGCGCCTGCTCGCTTGCCTCCCACCCCCCCCCCCCTCAAGCCGTCACTGCTACCGCTAACGCCCACGCTACTGTTGGTCGAGCTTGAACTGCCATGGCAAGACGGAGGGAAGGGAAGAGAGGAGGGGAGAGAGGAGGGCAGGGCAAAGTACGCCACGTGAGAAACGCATGAGGTAGGAGCCGGTTCCCTACGGTGAGGTCGTCATCACGCCACCAACCCCATTGCAAACATGTGCAACGCCTGATCTACTTTTAAAACATTTAGATGAAACATTTGCAACATATGTCTAACACAGATGAAACAATTGAAACATGCATGTATAGCCATTTGCAACATGTGCAACACTAAGATCTACTTTTGAAACATCAAGTTAAAACATTTGCAACATACGTCTAAAACACCTGAAACACTTGAAACATAGGCTTGAAACATGCGTATTTTGTATGCGATTTTGTCATTGCAACATATGCAACATCCAGATCTACTTTTGCAACATCTAGATGAAATACTTGAAATAAAGATATGAAACGTATGAAACACTTGAAAACGTATGCAACATCTAGATCTATTTTTACAACATCCAGATGAAATATTTAAAACAAAAGTAAAAAATGCTTGAAACACTAAAACACAAATATTACCCACGCCGACCACAAACCTACACCGTGGGGAACTACGATATAGATTGGCGAGGAGGAAAGGGAGCAGATGGAGGCCGCCCTGCGCAGAGGCGCTAGAGTGGCAATGGCGAGTCCTGGTCGAGCAGGGAGGCCGAGGAGGGCTGCCGCCTAGAGGGGCCTCACGAGGAGCGCCATCTCCCAGTGCACCCCTCACTGTACTATAGTACTAGTAGTAGGATTGCAGCCTATGGCAGAGAAGATGAAAAAGTAGCTGGCTCTAGCGACGAGCTCGGGGCACGGCGCTGGGGTGGGACGGAGGAAGCGGCAAGGATGAAGAGGTGCCGGCGTGGGCAGCTGCAATGCGCTGTGGTGGGGAGGAGGAAGCCGAAAGGACGGAGGAGGCTAGGAGGAGGTGCGCCTTGGCTACTACCTGATTTGTGCAGATGAAGACGAAGAGAGAAGAAGGATTGGTGATTCGTTTTTTAATATATAAGTACAATATATACTACTTGTATTCTCTAGTAGGAGTACTAGCCAAACAACGGGGAGGGAGCGGAATGGACGCGCGCCACTTCTGGAAAGGACGGATGCCCGAATCTGAGCATTTTCATAATAACAAGCTTCGTGTCAGTGTTTTGAGTTGCCACCAACAAGTAAATTTGTAATATTGCGCGTCTGTCCCGGATGATGTGCTAAGAGGACACAAGGTTTATACTGGTTCGGGCAGAATGTCCCTACGCCCGATTGTTGTCTTCGTTGCTGTTACTTACCACCCGAAAGTTCATAGTAGGGGTTACAAATGGTCAAGAGAGGGACGGGTCTCAAGTCTCCGTGGCGTGTTGTGATGAGTTCCGATCGATTCAGATTTGAGTTGAGCTCGGATGTGTTCGAATGTGGGATCGATGGTCCGATCTAGTTCTCGATGCCCCTTATTGACGCCTACGCTTCCCCTTTTATAGGCCAAGGGAAGCGGGGTTACAACCGAGGAAAAGAGGAGAAATGAGGAGAAGAAGTCCCCGAACCGCCGGGTCCCTCTTCTCCTTTATGCGGGTCCCGCCGACCCTGTAAACGTCAACAGGGACAGCTTCCCGTCGTGGTCCTGTCCGTCACTAGCGCCATGTGCAGGCGTCGTCTGCCGGTCATGGCGTACCACTTCATCCTGGCGGACGTCATGGTGAATTGACGCACTTGTTGGTGTTTGTACGAGGGTTAGGCAGAACAGTACCGGTACATCGACACTATTCTTGATGTGAATCCATGGCCCATCACGACCACGGGTTATATCGGGGCGTGCCAGTCTCTTCCCTAGCGTTAGAGCTTTGACCCAGGCCCGTACGCTTGGACCTAGAGTGGTTGGCGGTGGTATGGGTCTCTATTGGGTGAGATGGAGCCCTCGGCCTCGAGGTTGGGCGAGGCGGAGTTCCGTCCCAGAGGCCAGGAGAGGTGGAGCAGAACCCAAGGCTTGGGTGAGGCGAAAAACAAACCCAAAGGTTGGGCGAGGCAAAGCCCATGGCCTTGGTGTCAGGTGAGATGGAGGCCGCCCCCAAAGGTCAGGCAAGGCGGACCTCGTGGCCTTGGTGTCGGGCGAGGCGGAGCCACCCTTAGGGGTCAGGCGAGGCAGAGCCCACGGCCTCGGTGTCAGGCGAGACGGAGCCACCTTCAGGGGTCAGGCGAGGTGGA